GCGGTGGTCCACATGTCTTGTGACCCCCCCCCCCCACACACTCTCTCGTGAGGGCGGTGGTCCACATATCTTGTGACCCCCACCCCTATCCACACACAATCGTGCGGGCAGTGGTCCACATGTCTTGTGACCCCCCTACCCACACCAACACACACACTCGTGCGCGCGGTGGTCCACATGTCTTGTGGCCCCCCAACCCACAACAACACACACACTCGGGCGGTGGTCCACATGTCTTGTGACCCCCCCCCCCCCTCACACACTCGTGCGGGCGGTGGTCCACATGTCTTGTGGCCCCCCAACCCACAACAACACACACACGGGCGGTGGTCCACATGTTTTGTGACCCCCCCCCCCCACACACTCGTGCGTGCCGGTGGTCCACATGTCTTGTGACCACCCACACACACTCTCTCGTGAGCGCGGTGGTCCACATGTCTTGTGACCCCCCCCCACACACTCTCTCGTGAGGGCGGTGGTCCATATGTCTTATGACCCCCCCCCAACACACTCGTGCGTGCGGTGGTCCATATGTCTTGTGACCCCCCCCCCACACACACTCTCTCGAGAGGGCGGTGGTCCACATATCTTGTGACCCCCGCCCCCACCACACTCGTGCGGGCAGTGGTCCACATGTCTTGTGACCCCCCCCCCCCCCACACTCGTGCGGGCAGTGGTCCACATGTCTTGTGACCACCCACACACACTCTCTCGTGAGCGCGGTGGTCCACATGTGTTGTGACCCCCCCCCCCCTCACACACTCGTGCGGGCAGTGGTCCACATGTCTTGTGACCACCCACACACACTCTCTCGTGAGCGCGGTGGTCCACATGTCTTGTGACCCCCCCCCCCCCCACACACACTCGTGCGTGCGGTGGTCCACGTGTCTTGGGACCCCCCCCCCACACACTCTCTCGAGAGGGCGGTGGTCCACATATCTTGTGACCCCCCCCCCCACACTCGTGCGGGCAGTGGTCCACATGTCTTGTGACCCCCCCCCCACACACTAGTGCGTGCGGTGGTCCACATGTCTTGTGACCACCCACACACACTCTCTCGTGAGCGCGGTGGTCCACATATCTTGTGACCCCCCCCCCCCCCCCACCACACTCGTGCGGGTAGTGGACCACCTTCTTGTGACCCCCCCCCCCACACATTCTTTCGTGAGGGCGGTGGTCCACATGTCTTGTGACCCCCCCCCACACACTCTCTCGTGAGGGCGGTGTCCACATATCTGTGTGACCCCCACCCCTATCACAACCACACAATCGTGCGTGGCGGTGGTCCAGATGTCTTGTGACCCCCCCCCCAACACACCAAAACACACTCTCGTGAGGGTTGAGGGTCCACATATCTTGTGACCCCCCCCCCCCCCCCACACTCGTGCGGGCGGTGGTCCACATGTCTTGTTGAACCCCCCTCAC